CCCCAAAACCCCAAAACCCCGTCATTCATGATCATTTTGAGACTTAAATAATTTATTAATCATAATATTTCAGTTTTATAGACTTTTAATATAATTTTTTAATACTTTTTCGGTTTAAATTGCTTGTCATTTCTTTTACTCTTCATTAATCTTATCTATTACCAGCATAATCAAGAATACTAGAATATTAAGGTAAAGTCAATACTTAGCTGCTCCTAAAATCATCATTTCTATCTTTTTAAATGATTTCATCCTCTTTAAATATAACTGAATTCTTATGTTACTAATTCTTTTTCTTATTAGCATTTCTTAACTTAATAAATGAATTTCTTTTTTAAGAGGCTGATGAAAATGCATTTGCTCTTTGTTAAAATCTGTCAAATTCAAAGGATGCTAAATTTCTCTAAGGAGAAAGAAAGCTGTCTATAGATTGGTTTGAATCATTTATTGGATTCAAAGTTGATTAATCTGTGAGATTGAATTATGAGGTGCCTTAATTAATGCTCAAATAAGTTTTATTTGGTTAATCCAATGCATGACTCAACTACATTGCATCCTATTTATTAGATATGTTCTATTCATTAAAATTATTATTTTTCATTGATCTGCTCTTCTTTATGTTTTTTAGAGAAGACTAAGTATTTTTATTCTCATTTCTAGTTTTACGTTTAAGTGTTTGTTTTACTCTTAATATTAGACTGCCTAAAATTACTTTTAAATTTTTTATTGTTTCAATTATACCCACCACTAAATTTGCAACAAGAATAGTTGAAGCTAACCCAATTATAACCCATCCATAGTAATTTCTTTTACTTTCAGTCATTCCTCTCTCAAAAATGAAGCATACAGAGAAGGCAATTCCTGTCAGAGTCTCGTTAAAGATATTCATTGCATTGCTGATCTTATTCTTGAATGGTTACACATAAATCAAGTAAGAAAGCATTCCGATAGTTTTTAAAATGCAGAGCATTATTTGAAGTGCAGGAAACCTTGTTAAAAGCACCAGAATCCATATGTACAATAATCTCCTGAATAAGAATGCTGAAAAGTGTAATTAAGGAAGGAATGATTTATGAATGAGTTCCTTTTATCCATTCACATATTGAGTGATGCCAATTTCTCTGAAATTTTCCATCAAAGTGTTAAATCTATTTTTGGTATTTTTGTTATTTGAACCTTTTTATTAAACCAAGTTCATTGTAATCATAGGGAAGAATGTCACAAAACCCATTGCTATAATGGCAATAACAGAGGAGACTATTTGATCTAGATTTTAGTACTGGAGGTTGTAAAGATTAAGATAGGCATAAATACCCATTTCTAGGTAAAGCTCATAACCTAATCTCAGAGATCCATTCCATAAAAAGAAACTATCCATAGCTTTAAAGATTTAAAAGTTTTTGCTTTTGAAGTTCTTGAATAGCTAACTTAATGGATAAAAGCAATATATTGCGAATATCATTCCTAGTTTGTATTGATAAGATTTCAAAAATACTTAGCTTTCAAAGCCATAATTGTTGAAGACTTAGTTTATTGAACTATCAGAAATATTATCAAAATTTATCACACTTGAGATCGGATCTTTAATCAACTAATTTTCAAAATTTGCATAAGACAAGTACTAAAATATCTGGTAAACTTCATTTGGAAAATGAATATCAATCAAGGGCAAATAAAATAAAATTTGAACTGAATTAATAGCTGAATATAAAGAGTCAAGAGCCTTGTCAAGAGCAACTGATAATATCAAATTAATAGCCAATAGCACTTATGCTCCATGACTAACAGTAGATGCTGCTTCAGTAATTGCCTTGTAATAGCTAGGATCTTTGTATTCGAACTTCGATAGCTTGAATTTATTAGTCTAGAATATCGATATTGGATTCAGATACTGATCATAGACCAGTGAAGAATTTTTGAAGCCAATAGAGATTGAGGCACCTTCCTCTGGAATCGAGAACTTTGGTGAAAAATTTAGAAATATTCTCTTATTTTTTGGAAAATCATCCTATATCTCCCCTTTTACCGAGTAGCTAGGCGATTCTATATCAATGCCTTCAAAGTGAAAATAAAAATCTTATTCTGCAATTTTCTTTGCATCAGTGAATACCTATCCCTAGTTATCAGAGAATTCCAAGATTATAAATCTGCTCTCTGATCCAACAGATAATATTGAAACAGTCGGCCCAAGGGTATCTTGACATATATCTTTTGATGTAGTTGAACCCCCTATACACTTATAATTGCTCTCTACTCTACACTAAGAAGAACATCCATCGCCATCGTTGAGATTTCCATCATCACATTGATTCTAATTGAATCTTAAGCCGTCACCACAAATTTCTGTACATCTTTAGCCTCTAGTGCCTTATCCTATAATAGGGTAGTTGAAACCATTCAATGAAGAGCAAGTTAGGCAAGTACCATCAATTAGTATATATTCATCTCCACATGAAGTGCAATAATCAGGCTTGTTAACACAAGTCACACAAGGTGAAATACATGGCACACATTCTCCAGTGGAATTTGGATTTTTCAAATCGCTGTTTACTTTTATTATCTCTCCAGCTGCCATACAGTTAACAGAGTTACAAAAGTATTTACTAATGAGGGTGATATTTTCAGCACATTCAAAGCAGGTTTATTAATTCTAACCGAAGCATGATTTGCAGTATGGATGGCACTTATCTAGAGTACTAGTACCAAAGTCAAAGTATTTAAAGTCTGGTGAGATGTCTAAACATTTCTACAAGTTTTCTAGATAAATATGAGAGGAATTTTTGCACTAAGCGCAAGCTGTCAAATTATCCTCTAAACAAACGCACAGTGGATCAGTGCAAGCTAAGATAAGAATGATAGTTATGTTAAATCTTACATTAACATGTACCATTGATTAAAAATTGGAATTAATCACATTCTTAAGTACAAAGACCATCTCTCAGATTATAACTTGGCTTGCAATTTATACATTAATATCTATATAAAATTCTTGATTTGTAAGATTTACCTAGAGTAAGATTAGTTGCATAACTAACAAGCGAAATGACAGTCTTAGCAATCTTAATATTCTATAGAATAGATGTAGTTTAAGCTATTGTTGCATTTAGCTGTAGAATTAGGATTTTAATTAAGACAGTCATCTAGCTAGGATAAAGTATTGTTGCAGTGATCATAGTAATCACAATGCTAGTTTAAGATTCTTGAATAGGGGTCCTTACAGAACATAAAGTATCTTTTATCAATAGAGTCAGTTTAGTTATTCATTTAAAGCGAGCTGTAATAATACCATTGAAAATTATCACTCTAGAGGAAAGATGCTGTGAATGTGTCAATTGGTTTAAAGGGTTAAGCTGAATTTATGACAGTATTTCCTC